AACTACTTTTTAACAAACATGCATCAAACTGTGATGGAAAATGAAAGAATTACATGGTCCCAAAACCAAAATTATCAAACCACCAACCATGAACAAGCCTTAGCTAATCATATTAGTTCATCATTAAAATTAAACCAGAGCTTAAATAGCCCTTTCCTTTTCCACACAGCCATAACAACAAAACAAATCCTAATACAAGGCTTTTGTTTGATTTATTATTGTTGGGATAATAAATACATTATGAATATCACAAAATGTATTTTTACTCGCGGAAAAATTATTTAGTTCTTTCTTTCATCGAAAATATTTAAAAAATGCCAAACATAATATATTAATGAAATCATAAACAATTTATATGTGTCAAGCGGGTCAAGGGGGAAGCCTGTGGCGGGGAGTCACCACCAATGAGCTAAGTTACTCCAAGTACACCAAGTGGGTTCGACACCACATCTTAACCCAAAACCTTAAGGCATTGGGTTCATGGGTCCTTCCACTTATATACTCTTCACTTAGCTCATTACCAACCAATGTGGGACTTATCACACTTGAATATCCCAACAATCTCCCCCTCAAGTGTGAAACCCACCATTGATTTGCTCCCCCTCAACTGAGTACTCCTGGCCCAAGTACTCAACCTGCCTCCTAGCCAATCATCAGGCTAGCTCGAGCACAACCCGGCTCTGATACCACTGTCAAGCGGGTCCAGAGGGAAGCCCGTGGTGGGGGACCACCACCAATGAGCTAAGGCTACACCAACCGTAGCAAGTGGATCCGACACCATGTCTCAACCCAAAACCTTAAGGCATTGGGTTCATGGGTCCTTCCACTTATATACTCTTCACTTAGCCCATTACCAACCAATGTGGGACTCATCACACTTGAATATCCTAACAATCTCCCCTTCAAGTGTGAAACCCACCATTGATATGCTCCCCCTCAACCGAGTACCCCAAGCGCAAAGTAATCAAACCGCCTCCTAGCCATTCACCAGGCTACTCGAGCCTAACCCGGATCTGATACCACTGTCAGGCGGGTCCAGAAGGAAGCCCGTGGCAGGGGACCACCACCAATGAGCTAAGTTACTCCAAGCACACCAAGTGGGTTCGACACCATATCTTAACCCAAAACCTTAAGGCATTGGGTTCATGGGTCCTTCCACTTATATACTCTTCACTTAGCTCATTACCAACCAATGTGGGACTCATCACACTTGAATATCCCAACAATATGGTTTATCCAAAGTCGAAATGAGTTCGGGAGAAATCAAAATCCATTACGTAATACATTTGGAATTATAAGTACAAACATGGATTTATGCCAAAACCAGTATATGTCTTGTAAACATGGATTTTAATCCATCGATTAGATTATATCAATATGATGGAATATAATATTTAATCATTGATTTACCAATTGTGTGATATCAATGCCAATAGAGAAAGAATCTTCCAATTATAACAAAAGATAATCCATAATCACCCAAGTGTGGTGGCTCAGTTGGTAGCATGGGGACTGAGTGGCAGGAGAGGACCTCGGTTCGAATCCCACGAATACCATCTGGGAAGGGACATAAGTACCAAAATCCTTGGACTCGCACCCGAACTCTGGATTAGTCTCATAGGCGGCTCAAAGAGTCAAACCTGTGGGGATACCGGGGGGGTTCTGATTCGCCTCAAAGAGATAATTAGGATCAGTTTCCAAAAAAAAAGAAAGATAATCCGTAATCCATCTACTTATACTGGCATAATGCGTACAAGTCAAGGTTTAAACCAAGGTCAAAGCCTCATATGAATCAATCAATGAGAATAACATTGGGTTTGAAAATTTATCCCCTTTGAACATATAGATCTCTACATCAATAAGTCTCTAATAATTTCATCTATAACTTGAAAAAAAAATTGCTCAGTGTGTAACATCCCTGTCTCGAGCCGGTTCAATTAACATGCATATGATACAAACAGAAACAGCGGAAGACTTAACTTACGAAAATACGAGCTAACTTTTTCTTTTTATATTTTAATCCTTACTTGGAGGAGACGAAAATCGGACAGAGTAACCTCTATAATTCGGACAACTGGGGATTTTCCAATCCCACTCACAAGAGTTCCTGATAGACAGATTATACAACATATACATTCAGAAGTACCAGACATCCAAATATAATCATAAACCCATCCATGGGCACATGCATAGTTTGGCTCCGTGCCACTAATCTAACAGCATGCAATCCAATACGTAAAACATAACTGAATACTACATAGTCATATCCACATGCCTGAATACACAAATGTACATGCATCAAACTGAAGGACATGTACAAGACATATACAGGCCATATACAAAGTAAGGGATCCAACATCATGATCCATCAAATGCAGAAATACTAAATAACATAAATGCACTCCAAAAGGTTAGTAGCCTACAGCTACTCAAAAATTGATCTGTCCCAGCGCCTCAACCATGGGTCGCGTCCCTGCCTAGTGAGGACTCACCGAGAATCTGGGCACCTGAAAATTATGTCCCCAAAGAGGGGTGAGATAACAAATCTCAATAAGCTCTAGTTTTATAGAGAATTCTCCATACCCCTGGCTCACTCTTGCATGAAAGTCAGATACAGAGTATACAATGCACATATAACAGATATCATAACAGAACAAAGCATATATCCATATCATATCAGAGGCGTGCGCCGTCATTCCCAAGGGAGGACCCCAAGTGGAACCAGAACATGTCAGAGGTGTACATCGTCAATCTCAGGGAAACCCCATGAAGACATCAGTGTACCATACCATCAATACAAAAATCATATCAGAAAAATTCATATCATGTTATCAAATAACTCTATATGAATGCATCTATACAAAGCATCTAAACAACATTCATACAATCCAACCTTAGTTCACTAACCATGGTGGAGCACTCAACCAGGAAAAGACTCCTTAAAATAGAGCTTACCTCTTGAATCTTTTCAAATTCGCTTACTTGTGGCAGAGTTACTTATACCGCTTCAGTAGGATTCAAACCCTTTTCAGTCCCTAGGCACACCTAGAGAAGGAATCCAAAATACAAATCAATAAAAATGCTATCATGCATAGATTTAACATAAGGCATACATTTTATCGCTTATTTTCGTTTCCTTACATCTTTGCCAATCCTATGCCAATACACAAGTCTAGAACATAATATACTCGTTAGCGTTCTTTAATTTAATCAAATGTTCAATGGAGACTTTTCAACATAAATCATGCCATTTTTCTTTAAAAGACCGTGGACATACACTTAGGGAATCAAGATATTTTTCCATAATTTCTTTTCAAACCATTTCACTTCATAATCTTATTAATTTCATGTATTGAAAACTCAACACCTTAACAAAATAAAACATAATCTAATCATCCTTAATTTACCCTATAAGGCCGAAATCCATAAAGGAGAAACCAAGGGTTTCTTTCTTTTTCATTCACTTTTCTTCACTTAATAAAAATCTTACATATACACAGGTATGTATCCACAAGGTTCCAATTTAATTTCGGAACATCAAGTTCCTCCAAAACCCATCATGGCCGAAAATGGTGTGCAACACCACAGAATTTTTACCACATTAGCACTCTTTCTAAATCATCAAATTTATACCCAATCCCACACATTAAACCTTCTCAATACATAGAACAAAATTTTGCTCAATAACCCTAATTAATCTATGAAGGCCGAATCCTAAAGGGTCTACCCCATGGATTTTTTTTCCAATTTTACACATGTACAAAGGCTTATTTAGCGTTCCTATATTCCAAAACATCCATAATACATCATCAATGCAAGTTTTAAACTAATTTAATTCCCACCCAAACATGCTCATAACTTTCACAACATATATCACAAGACTAAAATCATAGGGTTAGAGTTTTGTTACCTCTAAACAACTATCCCAAGCCTAGAAGACATTCACCAAGCAAAGCTCCTTCGAAAATACAATTTCTCCTCCTTGATGAATAGTGACACGAAAATGGGGGAGGAAGAACTCTTCACACACTCAACTATAGCTCAAATTGATCGGTGGAATGGATTCATTGGACTTTTTCCTATGATTTTCATGTATAGCATCAAGCCTTTTGGTGTAAAAATGGATGGAAATCAAAGGAAGAAAAAAGAAGAACCCTAGCCCTATTTCTCCATGCAGCCGCAGGTTGGGAGGGGGAAGAAGGAGAGAGAATGAGAGTGAATAGTGATCACTTAAGTCACTTAAGGTTTTTAAGCATATATGGCCCTTTACCCGGTTGTTTTTCTATCGCGTATTTTCACTTAAACTTACCCGAAATTAACTTAAATCTATGGACACATTTTTATTTTTCTGAATAATTTTACATTAATTTTTATTTCCTAAGGAACAATATTCATAATTCAAAGTATGGTTCCTGCACCGTTTTTGATGAAATGCATTGTGAATCACTAACTGTACGTCTTTTGCTTACGAAACTTAAAACTTATGAACTTATCATTCTTGGGCCTATTATGACTTGTATGGCATATATTGGACTTTCTTATTCTTATTTCATCAATTATTTGTTTCTGGACTCTATCGGTTGCTTAAACAGCAGTACAAAATACCTGGTAGAAAACATTATTCACGATATTTTCTCGGAATGTGCCAGACTATACAATTTTTCGTTCTGAACTCATATTTGGAGTCAGAATTGTCAAATTATGTCTCTACACTCATTTTTCTCATTTAAGCTCTACCGGTTAATTCACAAGACTGTAAATTACCGTAGAACGCACTGTTCATAACCTAGTCATGATTACAGTCAAAATACTCGAAATCACGCTCTGAATCTAATTATGGCATTTAAATCCTTAATTTAAATCTCTAATTAAGATTCACCTGTTAGGGTCATTATATTCACCCCACCTTTTAAGTATTTTCCCACAAAATCAAACATAAACTATAACACATACCTGACGTCAAACTCAGGATACTGCTGGAGAATTTCATTCTCCCGCTCTCAAGTAGCGTCCTCAGGAGTCAATCCTTCCCATTGCACCTTAATCATGGGAATATTCATGTTTCTCAACACTTTTTCATCACGAGCTAGAACCTTCAACGGTCTCACAACAAACTTCAAGTCTTTTCTTACTTCAATATCGTCCCGCTGAACAATGTGGGACGCATCAGGTACGTATTTGCGAAGCTGACTGATGTGAAAAACACTATGCAGATTTGACAGATGTGGAGGTAAGACAAGCTGGTATGCCACAGGTCTGACCCTCTTTATAATCTGGTAGGGCTCAATAAACCTAGGACTCAGCTTCCTCCCTCCTAGAGCACGCCCAACACCCGTAGTCGGAGACAAACAGATAAAAACATGATCCCCTTAAGAAAATTCAAGGGGTCGATGCTTTGCATCATAATAACTCTTTTGGCGGCTCTGTGCTTTCTTCAATCGATCCTTAATCATCATAATTTGATCGGTAGTCTCTTAGACCATGTCAGGCTCAAATAACTGCCTCTCACCAATTTCTGACCAACAAGTAGGCACCCTGCACCTACGGTCATACAAAGCTTCATAGGGAGCCATGCCCAAACTGGCATGATAACTATTATTATAGGAAAATTTCACCAGAGGAAGATACTTATCCCATGCATGATAACAGTGTGATACATGGACTTGGGCTTGTGCTCAAGTTTATACTCAAGAGCAAGTGGGAGATTGTTGCATTTTGCTCTTTCACTAAAGCCCAATAGGGCCTAGTGTGTAAGAAGAGCCCAAGAAACCTAAAGCTCATTCTGCTTAGGGTTAGGGTTTTTTAGAACCCATATATATTCTACACTTATAGTCATCAGCCTCTCTAGTCTTCACTTGGTGGTTGCAGAGGCTGAGGTAAGGTCATCTCCCTGAAAGTGAGAGTGTGCCACACACTTCCCATTTTCCCTTGAGACATAGTCTGGAAGATCTACAGTAGTCCAGCTTCAAGGAGGTTGTTCGTACTGTGGAACTGAGAAGATCAGTTCGTGAGTTCGTGCTGTGATGCAAAGGACTCTAGGTTGTGGAGCATCATCTCAGATCTGCGCTACAAGAGGTAATTGCAAACAATGATGATCCTTTACATTCAAACCGCAATGGTCTAAACGCCCGCATAATCTATTTGCTCTTACACAAACTTCACCCAATGAACAATAATATTTTTCTAGTAATATTTTTAGCCTTACTTTTACATTTTGGGTAATTTTGCCTACATACATTTTTACCCCTTAATTCTTATTGACTACACTTTTTTATCTCAAAAGTGACCCTAGTTCCTTTAATTACATATTTTATCTAATTCAACCCACTAATACAAGATTAATTGCCTAATTACATGCAATTAATTAAAGATTACAGTAAGGGATATTATAGGAAGCCTACCTTGAATTATCATGAAGTATGGGTGTTCACGGTTTGATTTTATCGATTTTGGAAGTAAAAATCATCTAATTCAATCACTTCGGTTTGATCATGTAATCATCCATTCGGTTTTTATTTTTTTTTCAAATACGATCCAATACAATCTAATTTTGTTCGATTTGGATTGGATTGGTTTTCGATTTTTTGAAAAGCCTAAGATTTGTATGATGCTTATTGTGCAATCTAGAAGGATCGTACAACAAAAAGTTGAATTACCATCTTTTATCTCCAACAAAAAAATTTCAATGTGGTTGCATGAAATACGGAGTAACCCAAATTTTCATCCTATAGAGAAGCTGTTGTACAATAATAACTCAAGCAATAAAATATTTCATGTATCATACCCAAAAAAGCATAACATAGATCAAGCACAATCCACTTTCTCCAACATGATGGATTAATAGGTATTTGATTTAGAATTTCGCTATATGATTTTTGGGCTATGATTGGGGAAATGCCCAAATAGGTAGAGGGTAAGGTTGGGGAATCATTGGATCGGTTTGGATTAGATCGGTTTTCACCAATTAAATCGAAAATCGATCCAATCCAATTAAATTTTGCGATTTTTTTTCAATTTTTGATTTTTCGATTAGTTCGGTTATCGATTTTTAAGTTCGGTCACCGCGATTTGAATTAGTTTGGATCGGTTGATGAACACCCCTATCTTGAAGTGTGCTAGTGTTTGTCAAATGTCGCGATTCAGAAACCGAAAAGGGTTAAGATCAGACCAAAGATAGTGAACTGTGTTTTCATTGGGTATGCACATAATAATGATGCATATCAATAGTGATGCAAATTGAATCACCGACTCTAGTGACATCAAGTCCATAAGTGGGTATGTGTACACACTTGGTGGGAGTGTTGTGTCTTATGAATCATCTAAACAAGCATGTATTACAAGGTCGACCATGGAAGCAAAAACTTATTGCCTCGGATAGAGTCGATGGGGTAGCCAAGTGGCTTTGTAACTTTCTTGGGAGTATTCCGAATTTTCTGAAATCAATGTTTGCTATGTGCATCCACTATGACAGTAATGTATCAATTGAAATTGCAATGAGTGTTATATATAATGGTAATTCGATATATATATATATAGGTAAATATTTTTTTTTTTTTGATAACATTAAGGGGCGAAGCCCCATATAGGTAAATATTTTTACAGCTACTTTAGATAAGATTATCTACAGCTACTTTTTTAATTAAGTCTGACTGGTCATACATAAAAATTGCATTTTCTCTCTCCGCCACGCCAGCCGACAATGTCTTAGGAGAGAGAAAAAATAACTTTATTGTTATAACTATGTATGACCGGTCAGACTTAGTTAAAAAGAATATTTGTAAATAATCTTATCTAAAGTGGCTGTAGAAATATTTTTCTCATATATATATATATATATACATATATATATATATATAAAGGTAGGATCCTTTGACATCAGTGTCAAATTTGAAATTTGACACGTCATCTGAGAGTCATTAGATCAAAAAAGATCAATGGCTCTGATTTGTAAACATGTGACACCATTGATCTTTTTTGATCTAATGGTTCTCAAATTTTAAATTTGACACTGGTGTCAAAGAATCCTACTTCATATATATATATATATATATATATATATATATATATATATATATGGACAGGATCATCTTACACCGGTGTAAGAATAATAAGTCTTACACCAAATCTTAACCATTGATTTTTTGAATCTAACGGTTAAGATTTATTAGATCTCACTCATTAATTAATTTTTAATTCTCAATAAATCTCAACCATTGGATGCACGGAAATCAACGGTTAAGATTTTGTGTAAGATTTATTATTCTTACACCCGTGTAAGTTGATCATATCCCATATATATATATATATATATATATATATATATATATATATATGGCACGTGCTAACCTAAAAAGTTATTCGACAACTAGAATTTTTCCTTTATTTAAAATTGTTACGTGTGTACGAAGTTTCCTGTCTCTTTCTTTCTTTTTATTTTTATTTTTATTTTTATTTTAAGACATGTACATGGATCAAATCAGTGACAATTAAAAAATTCATTCCCTGAAAGTAGTGTCTTTGACTTTCTCATCTGTACAAGAAATTGGAAAAAAAGTGCAAAGGAAGTTTTAGCAAAAAATTCTAACCCATTGGGATTGGTCTAGTGACTGTCATCGGTCCAATAAGATAAAAAAAACAGAAGACTTAAGCTGCAAGGACTGAAAACAGTATAAAATGAATTCTGGGTTTCAGACAATCTCATTTTTTTTTTTGTTTTTTTCTTTTTGAATACAAAGGAACAAAGACAATCTCATCTTAAATCCTAGCTACTTACCTCTAAGATTTCGATCCACGCCATGGTATCCTATATGAAGAATCTTTCTTCATCTTTTACAAACCTTCCATCCGCATCTTCATGGTTCGAGGTGTATGCTGCTTTCTCCACGTTCATGATGCTTCTCAGAACAGCAATCAATGATTTGATACCTCACAAAGTTCGATCCTTCATAGCCTCAAAGCTTGAGAATTTCTTCTCCAAATACCAAGCAAATAACCAAGTCTCTCTCAAAATTAGCCGATATTGGGATGAAAGTTCAGGAAATCGCAATGAACTTTACTATGCTGCAGAAGAGTACCTTCCCTCCAGAATAACCAGAACCTACAGAGCGCTCAAAGTTGGAAAACTAGAAAACCACAAAAGCCTTGTGTTCGCAGTGGATGGAAGTCATGAAGTGGTGGACGAATTTGAAGGTACCAAGTTCACTTGGATGCTAGATGATGGTTCCGAGAAGGGTTCTCAAGATTCCCTGAACCAGAAGAAGGTTGCATTCATATTAACCTTCAATGAGAAGTATAGAAAGAGAGCATTGGATAGTTATTTACCGCATGTGCTTACAACATATGAGGCCATGAAAGCTGAACAGAGGATTGTAAATATCTATTCCTGGTCAGATCACTATTGGAACGAAAGTGAATTATCACATCCTGCAACATTTGACACACTAGCCTTGACTCCTGAGTTGAAGCAAGACATTATTGATGATCTAGATCGGTTCTTGAGGAGAAAGGAACTTTACAAGAAAGTGGGTAAGCCTTGGAAACGTGGCTACCTATTGTATGGTCCTCCTGGAACTGGAAAATCCAGCCTCATTGCAGCTATTGCCAACTACTTGAAATTTGATGTGTATGATTTGGAGCTCACTTCTATTTATTCTAACTCAGACCTCATGCGAGCTATGAGAGATACTTCTAACCGTTCCATCGTCGTGATTGAAGATGTAGACTGCAACAAAGAGGTGCATGCTCGATCAAAACCAGATAGCCTTTCAGATTCAGATTCAGATTCAGACTCTGACAATAAAAGTGTCAAGGTTTTGTTTGTATTATATTGTGTGTTACTCTTCAATTAATTTTTATAACAGACAAGTAATTACAACTTGATGAAAATTACTTTGTTTGTAGGTTAAGACTAGGAGCTTTACTCTGTCGGGTCTACTTAACTACATGGATGGTTTGTGGTCAAGCGGTGGAGAAGAGCGAATTATAATCCTTACTACTAATCACAAAGAAAGACTTGATCCAGCATTGCTGCGCCCAGGTCGTATGGACAAGCACATTAACTTGTCCTTCCTTAAAGCCAAGGCATTTCCAACCTTAGCTTCCAATTATTTGGGCATAGAAGGACATCATCCCCTCTTTGAACACATTGAAGGGCTATTGGAGAAAATACAAGTCACCCCTGCAGTAGTAGCAGAGCATCTAATGACAAGTGAGGATCCTGAGGTTGCTTTGGAAGCACTTGTTAAATTTCTCGAAGAGAAGGACATGGACAACCAAGTAGAATGCCAACTGAATAGTGCACAACTAAGTAGTAGCATAGGAGATTGAACATAGCTATCAATTTAACTTCATTGATAAGCTGTTTTAGATTTATGAATGAGTATGAGACATTATTTAGCAAGTTTAGAGTCTCCTCAATGTATTGCCACTAGGATAAGTAATAAAATAAAAATTGCCCTTTTGCTTTTGAAGTGTTCAAGCTAAAAGCTTTGCTTTTGCTTATATCTCGAATTGCTGAACAACTTCAATGCTAAAAGCTTTGTAGATTCTGAAATCTATCATAATTCCAAGAATATAAAATAGGCCACTGGCAGAGTTTTTATATTTTATTGAAAAAGATATTTCTGCAGTTAATGCAGGTAAGTTATTTGCATTTATTCTCAAAATGACGTCGTTTTGGTATTAAAATCTTAAAAAATTATAAATATAAAGATTATTATAACTCTAAAATAAATTAAAATTACAAAAATACCATAATTTCTGTCCAAAATAACGTCGTATTAAACTTATTGCAGATAACTTATCTGCACTAGAAAAAACCAACTTATTTTATTTTGTTATTTCTTTGTTCAAGATGCATTCTATAGAATATTGTATAGTGAGAGGTTTAAAGGTCCCAAACAAAAAACAAAAGAGAAAAATGACTTTAGCAGGGTTTACTTTTCCAAAAAGGCAACTTAAGCCATGCGCGTTCAACTTGGGTCCCTGATAAAAAAATATAGATCGATTTTTTTCATTTATAAAAAAAAAATTCATATTAGTCATTTTTTAGGAACTAAATTAAGTCTTCTTTGATTTTTGAAAGATTACATTTTCAAAGAACTGAAACCGTAAAAAGATCAAAAGTTAATTTATATATTTTTATAAAAGACAAAAATAGGAACCATTTTTTTATTAGGGACTCAAAAGAAACTTTACTCGTAATATTTAAACAACTTGACCAGGGTGTAAAACTTGGATTAACGAAAGCCATTGAGTGAGCATTTATGTAGCACCAATATCGACACGGGATATGACACGACACGATAGTCTGACACGTTAATTCTAAACAATATTTGATTTCGACACGCGATTTGATATTAAATAATATTTTTAATTTATGTAGTGTATATTATATTTTTTATTTTATTTTTTTGGTAAAATAGTGTATATTATATTTAATATTCAATAACTTAACAAAAAAATGAAGTTAAATTTATAATAGTCATCAATTTTGTAAAAAAATATAAGATAATCTAAATATTTATATTAAACTCAATAAATTCGTAATCGTAATCCAACAAATATAATAATTGGAGCTAAAATTGCAACGCAACGCATCCTTTAAATTATTTTTTGAACTTTTACAATGCGTGTTAGAGTGTCAGAAAATATCGAAAAATATCAGACATCACGTCTAAAAAAAATTTAAGTGTCAATATTTCATACGTGACAATCGTGGATGCAAATCAGATAAAGACAATTGGCTAGCTAATTGAAGCATTATTGTTGAACCTGCAAGATCATATTCTGTTACTCGTTTATATGCCTGGTTAGTGGTCCAAAATATCAATGCACACAGCTAAGTGACGTCAAATCACAATCCCGTCGCGCCCATCTTCCGCACATGGCTTCACATATAAAACATGACTTTTTAAGGATGGATGGAAGAATTTCAGTCTTAACTTCTTTTCTTTTTTGGGTTAAAATATTATCATGTCATGTGATACTTTTGTGAGTTTGTCTCCTCTGGTGCATGAAAAAAGCATTATCATTTTCATGTAACATTAATAAATGATAAAATTATTTGTCATTTTAAAGAATATAAAATTATATTATTTTAAGTGAGAAAAAAAAAATTATGAGAGAAAATATGGACAAAAAAAATAATAATATAAATCTCACTTTTTTGTAAAAATGAAATAACACAAATAATGTCATTTAAATTAAAAGTACAATTTTTAAAGTGCAAAATACAAAATCCTAGATAAATTACAAACGGAACGCAAAGAGAACCAAATTAATATTTATTTCATCCTTAACAGGTGTCAACTGCTTGTAGTGGAAGGAAGGAACAAACCAGTTAGGCAGCTAGCATATTCGGCACTCGCGAATGAACAAAGAGGGGCATACTCTTGTGCTTTTTTGACCTCGTGTGTTTGTGCTGGGTAACTGTGTATTATATTTTATACAAGTGATTTGTATTTGTCATTTAACATGACATAACAAATTTTTTACACACATAATATTTTGTGAGGTCCACACTTTTTGAAGAAAAAAGAAAAAAAGAAAAAAAAAATTACGACACGCAAAACGAATCTCTATAACATTACACAATCACTTTGCCTACAATATAACTCTTATAAAACCTTTTATATAATTCACTTTCTTTCTCCATTTTTCATGCTTAATAGACTGAACTGTACTTGAATTCATATCCCCTCCGTTTATCTTATTATTCTTTATTAATTTAGTATTTCATAAAATAAAAGATAAATGAAAAAAAACAAGTGACAATGACAAAGGAGGAGGATGATTCAACTCAAGGTGGAGTACATGAACTTAGCAATTAAGGTTATAATAAAGGACCAATGAAGTCGTTTGAATAAATAATAGTTATTATGACTTTACTGATTGATAGATATCAACACTAACTACCTTGTGTTTAGTTTGTTTTTTTGTTATGGCCACGTGGCTTCATTTGTACCGGTTTATTCTTTTTGGTTCGTAGACTATAAATAGAACCTTCTCTATAAATTATATGCACGATTGTTATTCTAATTCAATAATGATTTTTCAATTTATCTCACTTTGTAAGATGGTATCAGAGCTCCACATAGAGCTCTGATATTCGCCGATCAACCTTCGTGTTTTTTCTTCATTTTTTCTCTCTTTTTGCATTTTCTGAGATTTTCTCAGATCTCCTTTGAATATTCACATTTGTGTTCATGATGAGTGGTGAAATGGCGAATCAAAGCTCCATTCCAATCGAAGGACCTGAGACTGTTCCAATGATGAACAACAATTCAAATAAAGTTGTCGCTCTTGATATCTCAGATCCAGGTAGCCCCTACTATCTTCATCCAAGTGAGAATCCTTCACTTGTATAGTATTAGTTTCAGCACCGTTAAATGGAAAAAATTATCATGGCTGGGCTAAAGCCATGAAGATGGATTTAATATCGAAGAACAAGTTTTCTTTTGTCAATGGAACAATATATGTTCCAGAAATTTCAGATCCTAGGTTTGCTGCTTGGGAAAGGTGCAATACCATGGTAATTTCATGGTTACATCGATCAATCAGAGAATCCATTTCTCAATCCATTCTTTGGATGGATTGTGTTGTTGATGTTTGGAATAATTTGAAAGAGCGTTACTCACAATGTCATGTTTTCAGAATTTCTGACTGACAAGATGATATTTACAAACTGCAACAAGGTGACAGTTCTATCAGTGATTACTACACAAAATTGAAGATCCTATGGGATGAACTTGAGGCTTTGCAACCTACACCTACATGTAGATGTATTCGACCATGCTGTTCAATCTCATCACAAGTCAAGGAGATTCGAGACGGAGATTACTCCATAAGGTTCTTAAAGGGTCTTAATGATTGATGAGTATCCAATTTACTATGTATTAAGGGTCAATATGAGCATGAAATTAATTTAAAATTAATTAAAAGTTATGAGAATTATAATTAAATTGTTATTTTATTCTCAATAATATTCTAATAAGATTTCTGATATTTTGCAGTAAATTTCAGCTCAATAAAGAGATAAATTAGAGAGATTAAGTAGATTGTTTTGGATTTCTGAATCATTCAAGATCTTATCAAATCTTCATTGAATATTTTTAAGGAAAGTTTTCCATTAAATAAAAAGGGGAAGATTTGAAGGATTGAATCAAAGATATGATTAGAGGTTCTAGTGAAGATTCCATTGAAGATATGATGGAAAATTAAAAGATATGGTTTCATCTCTATAAAAAGGCATCTCTTGGAAACACAAAGTCAGAATTCGACAGAGGCAACAATATTCAGAGGAGGAGACTCATGTTGGAGATCAGGATTCCGGAGAACTTGAAGATTGAAGACCATTGATCTTTCTTCTTCATCTTTTTCTTTTCTTTTCTTTTCTTTTCTTGTTATAAATTCTTTTTATTTTAATTTGTTAAAGTCTGATATGTCTGGCTAGTTTTCTTTTGTAGCTGGGATCACGAACCCAATGTGAATCCTTTATATTTTCTAAATTATTTTTATAATTTAATTAGTTAGTTAGTTTTATTCTGCCTGTGTTTATTTTTTCATATCCTTATTAGAACTAATCACTCTAATTATAGGGTTTTGAGGGTTAGGATTCACAATAGACATATTGGGATTTTAATCTGGACAAGGGTAGAATAATAATTTGTGCATGACCTAGACATAGGCTTACATAGATTGCAGACTTTTAATTCATTCGCTTAATGCTTAATTCAAGAGGGATTACTAGGACACTAGGATTCTAATTGGGTTAAAGGGTTGAAATTACTAAGACATTAGGGTTCAACTAATTTATAGGAAAATAATGAATTGTCTGAGCTAATAACCTAGTTAGTTATAAAATACAATTTAGGAATATAAGAGAGAATCGGAGGTGAAGTGCATCCTGGCTACAGTCATTTTACAATTTTTAATAAATCTCATAACTTCTTGACGTTTTTGATATTCTTGCATGCGTTTGAATTTAATTGCTTTTAAATTTCTGTTTTTAAATCACAATCTCAACTATTTCACAATCAACCTGAATTCTTTTCTTCCAATCAAAAAGGGAATAGTTAAAATTAATCATTGGTGCATTAATCCTCGAGGGAACGATGTCAGTATCAAGCTATACCTGGACATGATTCAGCAACAAATGCAGCAGCAAAACTCAACTACACACATGAGTAATATGGTCAAAACTAAGGCCTTCAATGTGAGCAATGAGGCATCCGAATCTCCAGGTAATTTTTCAATCCCATGGATTTTAGGCACTGGAGCAACTGATCACATCACTTGTTGTTATACAAGCTTATGTCATATCAAGA